AACATTTACAGTCCCTTACTTGGGCAAACAACAGTAGTGTTCATACCTGTCCACATTCAGCCCTCTTCRATACTGAATAGAGGGTTTAGTATACCACTTCAACGACCACCACAGCAACGACTGGAGGCATTCTCACCTCCAGACCCACAAAACGACAACTCCTTTTCAGCCCCTTATCGAACCTCCACTTAGGTCAATCGAAAATGAAGAAAACGACTGTGAAAGTTGACGGCGAACCCAGAAAGAGAACAGCAACAAGAAAAAAAATAAGGATACGACCTTACAGCTCTGATACCATGTGAATAAACCCTAGTTCATTCTAGGTTAAAGTAGAGAAGAAGGAAGAAGAAAGAAAAGAGAAAGAAGGAGAAGAATGTTTGGCCAGACTAGAAGAGAGAAAAGTGAAAGTCTCACACTCCTAGCCGACCCATTTGACTTTTATTCATAAAACTTAAGTTACAAGAAAGACAATGTTGTTCCTCATAGAAGATGGGACACATAACTTAAACTCAGATACAATAGACATTTCACTTTCAATAAGATACACCAGAATGACCAAAATACCCCTGACTCGAGCATTCTAACAATGATGTTTCCTGGCATACATGAAATTCCTTGAAGAATTTTCCCTTGACTTTCTTTTTCTCTCTTAGGGGGTGTTCTTGTTTTGGATTTGGAGAGGGAGGAAAGTTGGTCAATGGGATTTTGGTTCCCATTGACCAAGAATCCCATGTTCTTTTTTCAGCTTTATGTGGGGACCAGGGAAAGTTTATTTTCCTGGGTATCATGATTCCGGGTAATTGCATTTACCCAGGTAAATAACTTACCAAAAAGCGAATGGGGCCTTATTGTCTATCAAGCCAAAATAACCTTAGGGAAATTATACTAAGTTGGCCTGAAGAAGTAGATGTATGAAGAGATTAAGATACGGTTAAAGCCTCAGCATTATCCTTAGATAGACACCATGTTGGTTTGGGGTAGATATCCCCTTAGCCAGTTAGGGACCTCAAATAATAGGTGTGACTCTCTTTTCTGCTATTTCTAGGAAGATATTTTCCATTCGACCATCATGATGCAATTAATCATCATATTGTAATAACTATTTCTCTGCACGCAATTCCATTCTTATTTTCTTTTTGGTGACAAAAGGTGTTTTCCGGAAGGCATAGACATTTACTTTGAGAATGTGGGGGGACGCATGCTTGATGCTGTGCTTTTAAACATGAAAGTCCATGGTCGGATTGCAGTTTGTGGATTGATATCTCAGTACAACCTCCATGAGCAGGAAGGTGTACATAACTTATTTTGCGTTATCACGAAGCGCATTCGAATGCAAGGGTTTATTGAGCCTGATCACAAACACTTGTATCCACAGTTCCTTGAGCTGGCTGTTCAGTATATAAGGGAAGGGAAGATAGTCTACGTTGAAGATATTGCTGAAGGCCTGGAAAATGCCCCCTCTGCTTTGATTGGACTCTTCTCAGGTCGGAATGTTGGAAAGCAAGTTGTTCGTATTGCTCATGAGTAGTGCACGAAAATAGACTCACCTCTAAATGGTTTTGAATAAATATAGCATTTAAGTGATGTATCAGCCAGTAGAACTCTACTGTTTCAAGTTGTGAACCAGGATATCTTGTGAGTGAATATGCTTGTAATTTTGTAGTTAGTAATGACGATTGACGAACAGAGGTGAATTTACACCCTTTAAAAAGCACTTGGGCTATGTTTGGTTTGAAGGAAAATGGAGGGAAAGGTAGGGAAACCTATACAAGGTTTGTAAAGGTTTCCCCACCTTTTCCTATTTTTTTCTTTAAACCAAACACAGCGCTATATATATATATATATATGTCTAGAAATTTTCTCCTTTTTTTATTTTTTAGTATCTGATGAATGGAATTCATGGATTTTATCCATTCTTGGCCACGTCGAATGGCTTTTTAAGAGCTATATTTTAACCAATCAAGTATGTCCCATTTCCACTCCCAGGTTTGAAGTGGACCTAGAATCACTCACGATCTAAGTTGTGATATAATAGCGAAACATACTAACAAATAGGACTTTTGCTCTGCTCTATATTTCCCTAACCCAGTTTAATGACAACTTCTTTCCGTTCCAAGTGAGAATAGAGGGGACATTTAGGCTGTGTTTGGTTTGAAAGAAAAGATAGGGAAAGGAAGGGAAAAATAGGGAAACCTTTACCTGTCTTTCCCTTCTTTTTCCTACCTTTTCCTTCAAAGTTTAAACCAAACATAGTCTTAGAGATTTAAAGCTCGAGAGCTTGATCTTTCTCAGTTTAATGTGAAAACTGAAGGACCATTTGAGCTAAACGTGAAAACAAAGGGGCCTTGATTGTGGATAAAGCTTGACATTAAAATAGAGGCAGACCCAACTTCTTCACACCAAACATATTGGACTTCTCTCCCTCTCAACGCTTTTGCTGTGCTTTTAGGATCGAGTTTGTTTTTGAAGAGATCGGCTTCAGTCAGTGTAAAGTCTGTTCGAACAGCCTTTACAATCTTACAGCAGGAATATCTAAGTAATTATGTACTTTACTACATGAGGAGATATTCCCAATGCAACATGATAAAGGCTGTTTGAAGGTTTTGCACTGACTGAAGTCGAGTTCATTTTTGGACTCTAGTTTCAAGGGTCAACATGTCACAGGCACCAGTTTTAGGGACCCGTGAAGCTATGTTAGAGGTATGTATTTGGCTCTACATTTAACATAAAACAAGTGTTCCGCCCCAGTCTCTTTCTTAAGTACAAAATAGGGGTTTCGATCCATTCTTTTCTTCTTTTCTATAAATAAATATAGAACATTGCTTTTAAGAGAGAGAAAAAAAATTGGATTCCATGAAGTTGATCCTTACAGGTGGAGAAGATGATGGGTAACGTTGCTTTTCAGAGGGCGTTTGTATTCCAAAATGATAGAGATTTGATTTCATAATTTGGTTTGCTAATGATATTAAATTTAAAAGACGTTTCCTAATAATTGTAGAAGTTCTTGAATGGCGTTGTGAGGGTTTATAGAAATTTTGGAACAGCAACGATTTTTCAGGTATGTCGTTCAACAAACTTGAGATTTTTCGCAATTTTTTTCATAATTTGGTCGGCTCTTAATTTGGTCGCAATATTACTTTTTTTATAACTAGGGTGCCGAAAGGTGAAATTTTATGAACCCTAATATGATACTGTGTTTGCTATTACTGTTAACAATGATAATTTATTAAATTTAATTAATAGTTGTTAATGAATATTAAATTCAATATAATTCAAAGTTAATTAATGGTAAATTATTAGTAGAAATTTTATGTTAATTTACTAATAATTAGTATAAAAAATTGCTAAAAATAACAGTTAATTCATAGAATATTTATTATAGCACCACCTTTTAAGTACAACTTTTGAAATTTAATTTTCAAGAAATTAATTATTAGAGTTAATTAAATATTTAGGAAATTAATTTTCTGGAAATTAAATATTCCAGAAACATAATCAGAATTAAATATTTTCTGAAAATAAATTTGTGAAAATTAAGTATTTCATTAAATTAAATATCACAATTAAACAATTTTCTGAAAACAATTAAATAAATACCTGAAAATATATTTCTGAAAACAATTTTCTGTTGAATTACTGTAATTATATAATCTGAAGAATAATTTAATAATTATTGTTATTCTAAATATTAAGTAATTTAATTATAATTTAATTATAATGTAAACAATTTAATGATAATTCTCTGAAACGAATATAATTTTGGTAAATTAATTTTCTGAAAAATCGTTTAATAAATTATTGTTATTCAACAGAGGGAGTTGCATGATAGACCAGAGAAGCAAAGATTTGCGAATTACAAGACCGAAAACGAGTCTTTAGGGTTTTTAAGGAGGGTAAATTTGGTTAAAAAAACTTCACCTTTTATTCCGCTATTTGATTTTTGCAATTTGTTTCAAGACATATCTGATTTGTCGATCGATTAGCAAAACTTATATTATTATTATTTTTTTCTTTTTGTTGTAAAAATCCCAATTAACAATAGGTCTCCAATAATAATTGAATATGTCTCTTGTATTAATGTCATTGAGAACTAACAGCATGGGAAAATGACTAGAACTCCAAATTCCTCAGAAGAAAACTCCGCAGATTTATATGAGACGGGAGGATCATTTTGTTGCTTGAAATATTTGGATGCAGCTCTCAAAACCTTTTGATAGTCCATCCCTAAAGAATTGAAACAAAATGATGAGATCAAAAAGAAACGAAATTAAATAACCCCAAACTCTCATTGGATCAAATCAACAATCAATCGTCATTTGATGCAACCGGTTTCCACAAATATTTTAATTTCTTGATTTGGGTATTTCTCAGCTAAAATGTAATGAATGGGATTAAACATAATCAACTGAAAAAAAAAGCTTGAGAAACCAACTCAAGCTAATTAAAAAAAAAAAAAAAAACAAGAAATCAATCATTTTCAAAGATCGAGCCCCGGCTCTAAAACTGTTCATCTCAACTTCCATTTCTTAGAGTGTCAAGTCAAATGATGATTGGATATTTTATTGGGGTTTTTGTTCATTGTAATTTTGATAGTTCTTGAGATGATGTCTAATGTGGGCGGATTTGGCCCCTTGGCCAAAGCGATGGAGTTCAACCTGGCGACTTGCCACCTCGTTCGCATCTTAGGGCAGCTTGCAATACTTCGTCCAAGGCTGACCTGTGGCACTTTGTCACTAGGAGTGGCAACAAGCCGAGCTTTTCATGAGCTATTCGAGTTCGGCTCGTGAGGCTTGCGAGCCGGCTCGAATATATATAATAAAATTATAGAAAATAATATATATAATAAAAATATTATAATTATTATTTTTTTAAATATCAAATAAAAAATATTTTTATATATAATTTTTTAATTTTATAAAATATTTTTTCTTAAAATCGAGCTCGAGCCGAACCGAGCTCAAGCTTATGAATTTTTGACTCGAGCCTTATAGAACAATCTCAAGTCGAGCTTGAGCCTGATAGTATTCGACTTGGCTCGAATCCACCCTTTCATCACCAGCTGAAGTAACCTTGATGTGAGGAGCGACCTCCTTTGAGGGCATGCTGACCTGATTGAGGTCTAGGTGGTGACCTGCGAGATGTTCTCGCCGATCAATCCGGCATGCATATCTTGACACCCCTGGGTTTCTTGGAAGTTAGCCCCCGTACCGAATCTTCTAGAGGAAACCGAACAAGGCGGGAAGACTGGTCTACGTGCACAGCTACCTCCGAGGACTTCAGGCCGGTTAGGTACGTCCTCCCAGAATCTCGGACATGGTGTGTGAAGCCCACGCCAAGCAACGCCTATATATAGGCCTCACCTCCAACCTCACAAAAAGAAGGTACGCGCAATTTACTAGCTCTCTTGCACTCAAGAATCACTAGCTCGCACAATCAATTACTAACATAGGCATCGGAGTGACCACGCCAGGTTAGCCACCCCAGGTCCTCTAACACTGATTCCTAGTAGGCCCCTCTGAAGAACTACACAGCTCGACACTCGAACAACCTTCTAATTCAGCCTAATCAACTCGACATCCAAGCTGCCTTTCAGCAAGAATTCTCCAATTCAACCTCTAAATCATTAGCCACCAGGAAATAGTCAAAACAACAGGGTTTTACTAAAATGCACCTCATCAATGTCTTTGTAGAGGTTCGTTCTTTTGAGGGGTAAGGATTTACATCCCCCTCCTAGATAGGTATGTTTTTTCTGTTATTAATAAATTTCATGGTGGCCGGTGGCCCGCCCCTGCATATTAAAATTTGGGACAAAAAAAAAAATAAAATTAGAAAAATGTGTGGAGATATCTGCTGCACTAATATTCCGTAAGAGAATTCCACATTCTTCTTAGCCTTCTTCTTGGAGGATGCAATGGTAGCATGCAAGTTATTCTACTAATAAGAGAATAGAGGGTATTGTACCATGGCTGTGCCTCATTTCATTTGGCTCCAGAACACACCATAGAGAAAATTCGTTCTTTTATGCTCCAGCAGTGTGTTTTGGGTTGAACTACAGTGGGTTTTGGAATTAAATATATCACAAAATTTGAACCACACCAAAATCTTGTGTTTTAAAACCCACCAACACTCATAAAACAATGGCCATAGTTATCTAATGTGGTGCGTAGCAGTATAAATTCATTGAATTTGAACCGGATAAGAAGATTTCAATATCCAAATTCAATTCGATATCCAATGGATGTTGAAAATCAATGTTTAAATTTGAATTCAATTAAATATTCAAATATTTGATTCAATTCGAATTCAATCGCGTTATTATTTTAGGTAATTATTAAATATATGGAATAAATATTTTATTTATACAAAGTATATAAATATATAAATATATAAATTATTTAAATATTTTTATATATTATATATAAAGTTATTACAAGAAATATAAATGAAACATTCAACAAAAATAAAGGTAATTTCACCTGTGATCTAATTAAGGGTTTTAAAACCGAACCAGACAACGAATCGGTCAGGGGTCCGGTTCTTGGGTCGAATGGATGGCCCATTTTGACAAAAAAATAAAAAATAAAAAAAAAACGGCCAAACTGTTGGATGGGTCGAATGGTTCAACCACCCGGGTCAATGGTTTACTGACCAACTCAATGGTTTTTGGCGAAATAATGGTTCTGGGGTAAATCGGAACCGGTCACCTGACTGGTTTCTGGTTTTTCCGGTCCCACTATCCTGTCCGGTCCAGTTTTGAAAACAATGAATCTAATCCTAATTTTATCCAAATTAAATTCCTAACTAACAACCTTAATCTTAACCCAACATATATATCAAGAGTTGATATTAGCATGTTAGTTCCAAAAATATCTCAACGAGAACTTAATTAAACCAACAACCATATAGGCTGGAACACCAAAATTGGTGCTCATAACAAAAATTCAAATTCGGTTACATATTATCTTTCCTATACCAGCAAAAGACAACGGCATCTAGAACTTGATATAAAGAAAGATCCTGAATGTGTTCTCTCATCCACACATTCTTTCTTTCTTCTTCTTCTTCTTCAAGGTTGAAGCTTAGCCTGCCTATGGGAGAGAGAATGACGACTCGTGCAAATCATGCATTCATCCCTCGCGACACTAATGCTTCGGTTAACAGACATGAATTTGTATGCTTCTACAATTTCCAAGCAATCTACTCCAAAAGCATATGGTTTGGAAATGATCCTCTAAAATTCTCCATACCCATCTTTATGTCTCAACTTGTCTTGTACATTCTCTTGTCTCGTTCCATTCAATTTATCCTCAGGCCTCTCAGGCAACCCAAGTTCGTTTGTAATGTCATTGTAAGTAAACTACTTTTATTTATTTATATATTGTTCTTCTTCCTTGAAAATTACAATTAACTCATAATTATTTTAACTTTGTATTCTCTCTTTTAATTTCCTTTCTATTTGCATGATTGTAAAGGCTGGTATAATCTTGGGTCCCTCTGCCTTAGGGCATAGCCAATCTTTCATGGACACGATTTTTCCAAAGAGAGAAATGCTCGTTGTGAATGTATTGTCTACGCTAGCAGCAATCTACTTTGTGTTCTTGATTCCTGTGAAAATGAACAAAAATATGATACGATGGCCTCCCAAGAATGCCTTAAAAATTGGTATGACATGTTTTCTAGTTCCTTTTATGATCACTGCTTCCATTGGTTTCTACCTAAGTGGGGAGATTTCCCGCCCTGGGCAAAGATTTTTCTTTATCTTTATGGCTGCATGTTTGTCTATCACACCCTTGCCTGTTCTTGCTTACACCATAAGTGAGTACAATCTAGTCAATTCTGAGTTGGGGAGGCTTGCATTATCGTCTTCAGTGGTTAATGACATAATGGGATATTTCTTCATAGCAGTGTTCATTGTTGTAAATCAAACCACCACAAGGAACTCATTGCTTGCATTGATGTCCTTGATTGCTGTGGTGATTTTTGTTTTCTATATGTTACGGCCCGGCATATTGTGGATTAATAGGACAACATCAAAGGGGAGAGCAATCGATCAGATTGTCATTGTGCTTGTATTGCTTGGAGTATTAATCTTTGCAACAATTGGAGATATCATAGGTGCAGCTGCTGTTGATTTGCCGCTTCTGCTAGGCTTGGCTATACCTGAAGGCTCACCCCTTGGCATAGCCCTTGCTGAAACCATTGATACCATGCTTGAGGACTTTCTTCTTCCTTTCTTCTACATTCGACTTGGGTTGAGTGTTGATGTTTACCAAATCAATGACACGAGAAAATTTCTAGTGCTTCAATCCCTTTTTATCACTGGATACATAGCCAAGTTGGTATCAACTATGATACCATCCTTTTTCTGTGGCTTCAACCTTAGACACGCATTGTCCCTTGGTCTTATGATGAATATCAGAGGCATAGTTGAGATGCTTATCTTCACAACTTGGAAAACAAATAGGGTACGTAATGATAAATGATAATAACTTCTTTACTCACTCAATATATATATATATATATATATAATTAAGTTTTTAAACAATAATTAATCCCTAGCTACTATATATATACGTGCAGTTGATAGATGACCAAAGCATGGCTATTGTAACACTATCAACCGTTTTCATTACAGCCATCGCAGCACCCTTGTCAACAATTTTTTGTAAGCAGTCTTCCAACTATTTTGCAGCAGCAAAGACAAGGGGAACAATACAAAATGCCAGAATGGATTCAGAATTTAGGGTGCTCCCATGCATTCATAGTGATGAAGATGTTCATGCCATCATCAGCCTCCTTGAGGCTTCCCACCCAACTAATGACAACCCTATAAGTGCTTATGTCCTCCACCTGGTCGAGTTGGTCGGCCGACTTGTTCCTGTGGTACACCATACAGATATATACAAGCAGGCATCAAATGACAACCATTTAGATCATGTCGTCGTTGCCTTCAAAAACTACTCAAACAACTCAAATGGGCGTTTCTTCTTCCAACCTTGCACCGTGATTGCCCCTTACAAGAGCATGCATGAGGACATTTGTAGACTAGCACTCGAGAAAATGGTTGCTCTCATTATCATTCCTTTCCAAAAGAAACACTCTCTCACCAATCGATGGGTGTTTAAAAGCTCCTTGAGCAAACTTAATCGAAACGTACTAACTAATGCACCTTGCTCAGTGGGGATCCTTGTACACCGTGGCAACCATGGTTTCACAATGTGTGACTTCTTCTCTTATAGTATTCTTCTAATATTTTTAGGCGGAGCAGATGATCGTGAGGCACTGGCCTACTGCACTCGAATGTCAACACACCCTGGCGTGAGTGTCACTTTGGTAAGGTTTTTGCTATGGGAAAAGAACCGAGACAAGAACAATGAGACTGAGAGGCGAATGGATGACTTAGTTGTGAATGAATTCAAACTCAACAATATTAGAAATGGACATGTCATGTACAATGAAAAAGTGGTAGAGGAAATGGAGCAGGTGTTTTGTGGAATTCGATCTCTACAATACAATAATCACAACCTTGTGATGGTGGGGCGACGACATAGCACAAATTTGATGAACGACATAACTATGGAGGATTGGTTTGAGAATCCTGAGCTTGGGGTGATTGGCCATATGCTTGAGTCATCAGATTATGCAGCTACTGTGCCATCTATCTTGGTAGTGCAACGGTGTATGTTACGATAGATGGAAATCGTTTTAATTGGCAAATTGGAAGTTCACCTTTTGTGCATAAAAGTTGTTAGACAGTATGTATGCATGCCCTCAACTCCAAAACTGATGTATTGTACATATTGTATTTACAATAATGGATAGATTTGGGGAGTCTATCTTCCCAAGGTAGTGGAGTAATGGATCTCAGCTGCTATGGTTGTGAACTAAAGTGTGAGGATAAGGGTTTATGAGAAACATTGAATTGGACCAAACCCAACATGTTCCTAGACTTTTTGAAAGGTGGACCAATTGAGTCTTGATTTTAAATCCTACATTTGATACTGATGTTAGATTGACTATAAAATTTGTTTATCTTTGATATGCTAACTAGTGAGATTCTTCTACGGTTAAATACCAAGGTATGTTGGGATATTTAAGGATGACATGCCAACTGATAATCAATGTGTTAGGATATGCTATTATGGTAAGCTGTAAATATCTATACTTTTTAGAGCTTCCTCTTTGTATTCTTGAATCTACCAATAGTAGGGTTATCTAAATCCTCAATGAAGGATTAATTGGTGTTGGAAGTTGGACAGCATGTCATAAAGATAAATAGGAAAAGTCTTTCCCCTAATGTGGTGTTAAGTATTATTAGCAGAGAGATTAATTATAAGTGAAAGATTGTAATGTATTGACTTAATTATCACATAATGGGATCAACCAATACAATTAGGCCTTTACGATGGTAAATGTTGGGGTAGTACACTACCTGGTTGGGTTGCCACCTCGTATATGACATGGCATAGCTTGTGGTGTCAACCTAGCCACATCATGAAATTGGATCAGCATCAGGAGTAGAGTGGTAATCGTTGAACCACCAAAGAACCCTGAATGATGAGGGATACGCGGCCAAAGGGCAGGGCCTCGACAACTAGCCACGATGAAGGAATTAGAACTACCTTATAACCTTGAACAGTAGGCACCTCGGCCTGTGCAATGTGTCCTGATAAGCAAGGACCGTAATGACATTCCTCTTAGGTATTTAAATGCACTTCCCTTGAGGTATCTACTCTTAAACTCTTTCTCAACTCTATCTCTCTCGTTCTTTAGCACAACTCCATTAAGACCAGTTCATCCTCAATACTTTGGCCTAGTCAACCTCATCCATCCTTCACTGACTTGAGGGACAGAGTGCCTCTCCCTAGGAAACCTCCTCGGGGCCTTTGACCTTGTTTTCTCACAAGTCGTGTTTGGTGTACCACCTCGTCCTACTCACATAGGCGCTGCGTTAACTTCACCTCTCCGTAGCACTTCCAACTCAACTCATCCAATTCAATGAGACACTTTCTACTGCTTGTCCACCTCAATGTAGAAAACATCCCTAATCAAGTGTTTTAAGTTCTTAGATGCTTAATGAGCCTAGTTACTTAAGCTCGTAATAACTATGGTTGAATTATCCTATTAAGCTAATTAAAAGATTAAGTAACTAGCCCCACTAGCTTATGTAAAACATGTGACATGTTGATTCTCTCATTAAGTTGTGGGTCTCATTCCATACAAAATGTCCTAGTGTAATTTCCAGAATTTATAAGGTGCAAATGGTCAATTAAAAGTCTTACATAAAAATCCTAGTCAAACTATCAAGTAGATAGTTTAGTATGATTCCCATTTGACTAGAAAGTCTAGCTAGAAAGTTTCTAATTTTTGGGCTGGATTAGGTTAGTAAGATTCTCTCCAACATAATCCTATGCATGGTATTTAAAATTGACTCGGTGACTGAATAGTTCAAGGGTCCGGTTACTGGTTCGACCGCTCAAACCGAATGCTCGGTCCATTCTGACAAGAAAATAAAAAAAATTCAAAAAAATAATACAAAAAATAAAAAGTGGTCAAAACTGTTCAAACAATTTGAATGATTAACCACGCAGTTCAGCGGTTCGTTGACCAAAATCAACAGTTTTGGGGGGAAATCTAGTTTTTGGGGAAAACAGAACCGATCACCTGACCTATTCCCGGTTTTTTGGTCTGACCATCCGGTCTAGCCTGGTTTTGAAAACCATGATCCTATGTTAGGAATCATAGATAGACAAGGGGAGAGGACTCTTGCATCCTTCCATAGCCTATAAATAGGTACAATATGGGGATATTGAATTGTGTTAGTTCTCTCCTACATTGTTGAATTCAACTAGTCGTGTAAGACCAATCTTTCGAGGGTTTTGGACCCTATTCATCAATTGATCCATTAGCCAACATATCTACCATTAATCTAGACTTATTATGGGTGAAAATTGTCACCCAAATTGATGACAAAGGTTAGACCTTTCTCTTGGAAATTCGATTCTAAGACTACAAAATCATAGTTGCACCATTTTCAGGTAGTTGCAATGCTTTGGGAAGATCAAAGCTTGGGTGTGAGAAACACTATGGTTTATGCATTTATGGACATCATAATCAGGTATTATACTCATTCTTGATTTAAAGATTTGATCTTTCTTCATCCAAAAATCCCAAATGATTCTCCAAGGAGAAAAACTAGTTTTCTCACTACGTGATGGGTTTCTATAGATTTTTGGTTTTCATCCTTTCTAATTACTGAATTTTTTTCACATAATGATCACTATATGAATGTCGTTTATTACTCCTATATTTATGTCTAACTTCTTCATTAATTAGTTAATTACTCCTATATTTAAGGCAAATTTAAATTTAAATTTGAATTTTAGTGATAATTACAATTCTCTCATTAATTCTATTAATTAATGTTTCTATCTCTCATTAATGCCCATAATTTTGCCATTCTCTCATTAATTCTAGTCATTTGATTTTAATGCCCATAATTTTGCCACTAAACCACTCCGATTTGTTTGTTATAGTTATATGCATTTTTTTTAAGTCACATTTTTCTTTTTCTAGTGGTGCTTATTAATAAATGCTGAAATTAATTGTTAAAATTTATATACTAATAAATATTAATATAATTATATTGGTTATTTGAAAATGGATGTATATACATTCACATTTTAATTATTCCATCATTTTTCAGCAGTTACTAATTATATCTCGATATGTCACATTTTAGATAAAACTTGTAAGTATTGTTAATAATATATTTTTTAGGGTAAATAACAAAGACCCCCCGGACTTTGTTTTGCGACAAAGACCACCCCTATACTATGATCGTGAGACAAAGACTCCCTTCCGTTAGTTTTTCATTAAAATCCGCCTTACAATATTTTTTAACCCCCATACTACCCTTGTAATAACTATTCGGACAATTAGGAGAAAAACACTATTCATCTTCCCCGACCTTACGATACACGAACAGCAGCGGCAATAATCTCTTCTATCTCAGATTCCTTCACATTTCTCTCTCTCTCCCCCGATCCAGGAAAGTGCGTTACGTGGATTCTCTTTTCGTTTCACCTGTTTTTGCCCATATTTTCTCCAATTATAACAATCATCCAATCTCCTTTGCTCCCTGAAAGATTGAGAAGGTTGAGAGAACTGATTATGATTCGACTGGAATCCACCATTGCTCTGGGTGTTGTTGGCTTGGATGCTGGAAATCTCATGAGAGAAGCTCTGCATCGGCATCTTCACATTTCACCATGCGCTTCCCGAATGAGAAATCAGCTTGCTTGGTGGGTTGAAAATTCCACTCTTGTTCAAGTCCTTCCGAGTTTTCGTCCTGTCCAAGTTGGAACGAAATAAATTAATAAGAAAATTTGAGGAGCAGTCTATTTTATTTATAAAAACGATTAAGAACTCAAAAAGAAAATGATAAGAGGGATTCCCTCTGATCAGGAGAGGGAAATGAAATAAACATAGACAAGATAAAACAACACAGCACGCGAAGATGGAAATTAATATACCTTAGAAATCGTAGTGATAGAAGACTCAAACATGGATACCGAGCCCATAGCGGGCCTTGTTTGGGGTTGGAAAGAGAAATCCGACAAGTTTTTCTCTTCCTTCTTGACACCTTGCTGGTAGTTAACAGAACTATTCTTCCAATTGAACGCTTGAGAGGGAAGTGTCCCGGTCGTAGGAGACTGCAAAAGCTGCTGATACACACCAAAAAAGAAATGCACTTGAAGTCAGAATTCTCTAAATAAATCAATTAATCAATCCAGAGAAACAAGATTAACTGAGTTACCCAACACAGACAACAACACATGGAGAATTTAATTAATTAAAGAACAACAAATGGATTTCGAGTTTATTGATTCTAAGAAGACAAGAACAGAAAACGTAGAAAAAGGAAAGAACGTTGATACAGATTAGTCGTACAAAAGAGAGGGGGGGAGAGAGAAGCGCGCAGTATTCATGGAAACTTGGAAATTAAGCAAGAGAGATGAAGCAGAGACCTACATTAGAAGCGGAGAGGAGGACGGGTGAATCCAAGAGGTCGGTGGGGCTCAAGCCAGGTGGAATAGCGAAGTAAGAAGGAGAGACAGGAGGAGGAGAGATGGGCAGTGAAGGAGGAGGAATCGACTTGAACTCTGGAACACTGGCTCCAGTTCTATCGGCGAAATGATCAGAAAGCCCTTTATCGTCGTCACCGGCGAGAAGGTCGGAGAAAGAAGAAGTCATGAATTGGTTAGAGAATGAGAAGGGTCACTACAAGAAAAACCGGCTAACCCGGCAGTTTTGGGTCGGCGGTTTTAAAAAACTGCCGGCCTAGATGTATCCAAGATGACGGTTTAAACAACACTATCGACCTTGACTGAAATTAAGCAACAAGTCAATTATACCGGCAGTTTTATAAATTAAACCGGTCATTAACCAATACCGAACCGGCCGGTCCAAAAAACAAATTGAAGTGGCACCGCTAATATCGTCTTCGTGCAGTTTTCTTCTTTTTGCTAATGCAGAGTTCCCGCGTTTTCTTCTCTTCAATGTGGAGTATCCTTTTTTGAGTTCTTTCCGAGTTCGTCTCTCCCCTTCCTTCTTCAACATGGAGTATCCCTTTCCTTATTGAGTTTGCGTCTCCCTTTAGAGGTCTTTGACTAGGAGTATCCATTCTTTCC